GATACATCTGTATGGAAGCTCATAAACGGTAAATTAAGTTAGAAAGTGTATAAGAGTTTACATCCCTAGGGAATGTACTGGGTTCAGGGTACCCACATACTAAGAAAGCCACACCAGGGTACCTATTAAGGGTACGTAGAAAATTCTCAGTAACCAGACTGTTGTAGGTACTGCATTGGGTACCCATAGCAGTATGTTTCGCTGAAGCAGTACTTGTATAAGTACTCGCACCTGTAATTTTACTGAGGAAAGCTCTGCAGGATACCCTAGATTGATCGCGTTCTGTGTGGCATCTGTTCATCCACCGTTTTCTTTTGCGTGAACAGCTCCTTATAAACAGCTCGGTGAACCATCAGAAAATAAAATTTTTTCATATTTTTTTTCTAGATTATTTCTTGACTATTTATTAGTGGAGAACATGCTGATCTTAATCGTAAATTAAGATCGGACTACCCTGAAGTGGTCGGATGGAGATTCGACCAACTCAAGCCCGGTCAGATCCCGAAATTTGACCTGCTAGAGTTTTCAGGATTGGAAACATTAAATAAAATAATATCGAAAAAAATTTAATAAATTGTTTTGAGAAAAAAAAGAAAAAATTTGAAGATCAGGTTCGACCATCAACGTACTGTAATTTTGGTAACAGGGTACCTAAGCATACTGTGCAATAGTATCCAGTTGAGTACTTGATCAGTACCTTCAAGTACTCATTTACTAGTTGTTTTCCAGCAGGGTACCTACCTGAGTACCTAAAAGGTNTGTCATGATATGGTTATGCCATAAAATGACCATTTTTGGATTAAGTCTCTTGGTTATAGAGAGGAGTTTTGGTTGCTGGACTGTGACATAAAAATACCCTTTTATTCAGGGCCACTAATAAGCTTCAGTTTCTTGTGCAACTGTTTCTCCAAATGAAACACTTCTCGAGTTAGTTTTGTAGTGCTTTGTGACCAGGCTTTAAAACACTAAAATCGTCTTCTCCAAGTTATTTTTCCTTAGATAAAAAGTGCAAGAAAACAACGTGGCATTTTTAGTAACGCTGAGGTACANGGATTGTCATTAGCTACGAAAGTCAAAACAAAATCGGCCAGCTTGTAGAGACTGAAATTCTACAACTAACGATCTGTCATTGATATTTTTTGAAAACATTTCTTGGTTAAAAAACTCAAAATGCGATTTTTGAAAATTTTCATACTCGGTGTGAGTGTAGGTTGATATGAGTATAAACACAATACAAACCATTACCCACACCCTGATTTATTTTGTATCAGTTTATTAATATGTAAATAAACATATTTCGATTGAATTAAATTGTGTCTGACTCATTTAATTTAATTTAAGAAAGAATTAAAATGAAATATTGACAAAAATTTCATGCATATGTTAAGTTGATGCAGGAAAAGTTTAAAACAACGTTTAATTCGAATCTAAACAACGAATTTTCAATATCCTATTTTTTTCCGATTTTTTACACCTTTTCCTGTATTTTTAAAAAGTTCGATCCTGTGCTAATTCCTACACTTTCAAAAACTTACAATCCGAGGCCAGAAGACAACATCTTAGTTCAACTCTTGATCAACAAAATTCTCTATCGAATACTGTTGAGGTAGTCAGATGAATTTTTGATAAAAATTAAAATCATCTATTTTTTTGATCAATCTCATAACCATATTGACTTGTTAGACTGTGGCTGTACTTGGTATAATTAATGCGATTGCCGGCAACGAGTTCGTGAATCATTCCAAATACAATTCACCTGATGCACACATTGGACAATTGCTTATTTCAATTGTTTTACTCAGCTTTGGATATTTCGTCGTTTATCAATACTCTCAGAGAAGATTACAAGAGGTATGTAATATTTTACGAACAAATTACATGTAGTCGTGTGGAATATCTCATTTTTGTTTTTTGAATTTACTGGGTTTATTACGTCCGTAGACGCTTATAAAGAATGATGTGATAGCAAGGAGATACGAATATAGCTGCAATGGGAAAAAAATAACAAGAAGATTAACTAGGGCGAGATGACCATTTAGAAGGTAAATAATAAATAAATAGTAAGGAGAAGAAAAAACTACGAGCAAGAGCAAGAAGTTAATATGAAGAAAAAAGAAAAAGAAGGAGAGATGACTATTTATCTCTTTTATCAGAATGGTTTTCTATGACCTAAATCCATTGCAATAGCAGCGACTCATTTTTTCACTCTAGTCAATCTTAGAATTAATACTTCTGTTGTTATCTTTTAATTTCTTTTTTAACCATTTCGGTTTGACAAATGAACTTTTGATTTTTTTTCAACATAGTAGTCAACTGTTAGGACCAGAGAAGATTTGTGAGCCTACTCCAATCCTAAATATTTGAATATTTTCACACACTGATCAGTTGCTTCCACTTCCGAACGTATCCAACGCACATCTCACATGTTTCTGTTCTCGTCTTATTAATATAATCGAGCATTTTCGTTAGGATTTTCTTCATTGGGGGTACGATAAGTGTATATAGATCATCCTCAAAAATATGTGTCGGAAACGTACTGGTATATTGTACTATGTCGGAGTAGTATATTACATCTTGTCTAATGAAATTCAAAGTAAATGTTTTCTTTACACATATCAAGATTAAGTCAAGTCGAATCCGTATTAAATTAACACAAAATACTTTCATTTGATTAATTTTGCCGGGTGTAGGGGTGGTACTTTCACTTTCACTTTCCTTTCCTTTCCAAAAGGAAAGGAAAGTTTAAATTTTTCATTTTGATAGCTGTTAACAGCATATGCATTATCAACTACAACTGTAATAAAATAATCATTTTAATGTCAGTAGCTCTAAAGGATCTTTCTGTACTCATCGCTTTCTCTTGAATTCAAGCTACTTCTCTACTGTTGATGCTCCACATTTGCTGCTTTCATCCATTGGCAATTTCTTTTCATCTTCACATGCTGCTACATCCCGCTACGCTTAACTTTATAGGCTTTCTCATTCTCCCTTATCAGAAGAAAATATATTAAGCACTATCTCGACTCAAATGTCGAGCAAGTTTTTGATGTTTGACAACAAAACAAATGGACTTGAATGAAGAAGGTGTGGGCGTGCGTTTGACTATTTGTTATTACACCCACTACACTCTAAAGAAAACAGGTTTATTACCGAACCTGTATCGAAGGGAAGAACCTTTGGAGTTCCGTACATGTTTACGGAGTTTAAAAGAGATAATGCCATTATCTACTAAAGGATTTTAGGTTCAGCAGATCAGTACGAAACCCCAAAGGCTCTTCGCTTGGATACAGGCTGAGTTATAAACCAATTTTTTTCACAGTTTACGCTTCTATGCATGCTTAATAAAATAAAATAAAATAATCGAGTGAACGTCAATATTTGAACCTAAAACTAGATGCAGTAGCATCTACTATGGATTTCTCAATGATTTATCGATTGCTTATCTTATCTCGTTTCAATTTTATATGATGAATTAAAATAAAAAGAAGCGTTTGAACTTAAATAAAATGACCGTTAGTTAAAAAAAATATTTGTCGATAATACACCAGCGCTCGGAAAACACTGGCTTTCTTGAATACGAATACGAATACGAGTACTTCGAGTATTCTGCCCAGCTCTGTAATACACGACGACACATGTGATAATATCAGCAGTATATTTTTATCAACAGTATAAAAGTAATTTCGACGTTTCTGCACGTTCACAGTAGTTGAAACCCACTGAGGTTCGTGAAGTAGACATAGAGCCGCCTCAAGAAATATAGGGGAACATATTAGATCAAGTAAATGCAGTAAAAGAAAGCAAAAGTTAGTCTGAAGAGTGCAAAACACGAAGAACGCGCGGGATAAACCAAGATAATGAAAGAAATACATTTGAGAATCTCAACTATATGTCATTTAGAGCTTCACTTAATAAATCGAAAACACACATAGGAAAGCTTTTATGACTTATCCTTCACGACACTATAACTTTCCTTCCTTTCCTAAAAGAAAGAAAAGTAGAGAAAAACAAAAAGCTTTCCTTTCCTTTCTGAAAGTAAAAAGAAAGTGAAAGTGCCACCCCTAGGCACGTGTCTATATCAAAAACATGATAGATAATTTTTTTCCATTGTGCAATCTAATGTAAAATGTTTATACACGACTGAAAAATAATCGATTGCGTCTGCATTTTAAGTAAGTGGTACGATGAGAAGATTTTAAAAAAAAAGACGACACATTCTGAAATTCGATGTTCTTGTCGCTTGATATATTCATCAATGGTTCTGTGTTTATTCATTGCAAAAATATGTTTTCATTTCCGATTTTTAGTTTGATTGGCTAAAAATAAATGCATTGAATATTGTTGGTGTTGGGCTGGCGCTTCTCGTCTTTTTCAGCTCGGTATCTTTAGCTACTGCAAGCTCATTGGACGATGGTCAGAGTCAGACTATTCTGGTTGCCTCAGCAATAACTGTCTTCTTCGTGATTCTTATTTTGATCGCAGCCTTTATTCTTCTAATTAGAATTGGATTTCTTTGGGTTTCAGTTAATATGATATTTGTTTCACACTGTAGATTGTGACTGTAAAGTTTGCTTTTAAATTGGCAAGATTAACTGCAGTCGAAAAGTCTTTGTGCAGTGAAAGCTTTCTAGTTTGCTTTATATAATAATCATTTTAACTAGTATTCAAGATTTATTCAGTCTCTGCTTCAATTACTTTGTCTGGAAGCTCTAAAAATAAATCTCAGTGTTCTTATCTGCATCAAGAGTTTTACGCATACAACAAATTATATTCAAGCTGATGATGGTCACAAAGTCACATTGTCCATCGACTTGCCGGAAACAAATAAGTTGTCTTAATAATTAATTTATGCGAAATATAGAAATATTTTGTTACTCGAGAGAAACGAGACATTCATATCCTTCTTCTTTTTCTCATTTTATACTACATAAAAAAACTTTTCACAAAATTTAAAATTCTAAAATAATGTTTGAAGTAATATTAATTCTTTCAATCGTTCTCTATTTCTTCGATTCAAATGGTTCAAGAAGTGAATACCATCTTTGTTCTCTTGCATTCGGTGGCATTAGTTGTGGTCGTTCTGCACACAGCTCGAATACACAGACAGGTAATGTATGATATGGACTAACTATAACATCCATTAGACGGAAACTTGCTCCGAACATAATCAATATTTCGTTTTCGTTGTGTTCGTTACTTAAATGTGTAATGTCAGCGTATGGTTGTGTATTTCTAATGCGTGCATCGATGTTTATTTTTAAAAGTACTCGAGTTTCGTTTCCGGATGGTTCGCATCGATTGATACATTGAATAGCTTTACTTTTATCCAAATTTCCCATGAGAAAACTTGTAATTAATATAACTTTATTTCTATACATTTTCAGACGCTTAAATTCAATAGTTGTCATCAAGCGACCACAATAAATAGAAAAAATAGGTTTGTGTAATTGATTTCGGACAAATCCTGAATGTTCATTTCGTAGTTGTAGATGAATGCAATGAATAAAGTATCGAACGTTGTTTAGAAAAACGAAATTATGCGTCTGAAAGGCTGTGTTGAGTAAGCGACTGATAAATGGTTCGGACGTATACCACTGGATAGCTGTATTCGGTCCAATGTTTAGATTGAATTTTTGTAGTATTTCCCGCATTCTTTTGTTATGTTTGTAATAGTTCGTGTAGGTTTCAAAAAGAAGACGTTTTCCTTCGTTCGATGTATCTATATTGTAAAATTTCGACCAATGAAGCATCAAATAATAGTGATCAAGTTGTAACATATCAGGTGAATAACCATATTTTGTGATAAAACTTCCATTTGCTGTTTTTTCATACGCCCTCAAATCTTTTTTCAAGTGTTTTACAATAGCATCGAAGTCATCAGTAATATATTGAACCTGAAATGGACAAACAATTTGAACTCGAATCGATTTATCTTTCCCCTACGTTAGTACAATAGATGAAGTTATGTTGAAAGACTTCCTCGTTACGAAAAACATGATACTGAGAGGTCAAATATGTACGTAGCCTTTCACTGATCTGATGGGGAAGATATGGTTTCGAATTTCTAATACAATGATCGGCGGAAGAATGTTGCTATCTTTCGACCGAGTGAAATAGAACATCTGTAACAGGGTTCATTCCAAAGTCAGAATCATTTTCTCAAAATCGACCATTTGCAGCGAAGGATGATGTTTTTATTTTTGTTCCCGAAGTAAATTTGAGAGATTTGTCATTGCCGAGAAGAAGATAGAGTGGCTAGCTTAGTCTAGATCGATAGAAAACGATTTTCTCCATGAAATGCTTCGATCAAAAACTCATAAACAAACGAGTGATATCTTTCTTATATCATAAGTAAATCGTTCACTCAACACTTATTTAACTCGTCAATATTTTAGTTGACAACGCTTTACAAGCTCGTCCACATTCTCTTTTGAATAATAAAAATCAAAAAGATATAGTTCTCAAAAATTCAATTTAACAACTGCTGCTCAACGCACCCATTTTTTATTATAACTCATAGACAAAGATATTACGAACTTTCTTAATTGGTTGTAGTAATAGACGAAGGCGTTGAACGTCTTGTGAATAAACATATATAGCTGCCGTCTGAGATCGAGTATGAGTTGATAATATCAATGGCAAACCTACATCACCATCGACTATAATAAATATTTTTTGATTTCTGTTCTCCTTGATACTCTGTTCAGCATTGACCAAACTTTTGAAAACCAGTAAGGAATTGATAATCGAGTGTAACGTATTTAGTTTTTGAACATTTTCAGGTGTTGACATCTCGAAAGTGTACCAAATCAGGACATATCGTTCAAGGTTTCTCAGAGATTGTTGTTGATAACTTCGTATGTATGTAAGTCTCGCACCATGGCCTACAAACAATGTTTATAATTATAACTACAGAAATAAAGCTTAACTTGCATTGAGTCCGAGTCGTTTTCCAGACTACGATAAATGTAAATTTATTTTAGATTACTTAGTTTATTCTACATTTATATCTGAATAGTTAATCTTACTGATTTCAAGGTTAAAATACTAATGTTTTATTAAAGAAATCATCCGATAGTCATTAATTTAAATAAAAACGCATGGCATATGAGTATTACTTATTTCTGTAAATTGAAAGAAGTTAATTTCGGAATGATAATTTATTTCAATTTTCTTGCTCCATTCCGATATTGAACTATTAGAAAACAAGTATTGAGGTTTTTAATCATGAAAATATTCGAGTTTCAAGTATGTTTATTTTGCTTCGTCTTTAAGCGCTTAGTAACTAAGAAAATAAAGTAGTAATATGGTATGATCGACCTCACTCACGAGTTCATTACAGAAAAAGAAATGATATTACTATTACAAAAAACTCATTGCCTGAATTTGGAAGGTAAAAAGAAACAGATATAACAAAGTACCTTCGAAATTATCAATTGGACTACTGCTTCTAGAACCCATATTGAAATTTGCATAATGTTTGACTACAGTTTACACAGAACAGAACTGTTGTATTGATGTCGCGTAGAGATGCAAATGTAAACGTCGTTGCATGAAAATAGCATGCGACAAACACAAAAAACATAAGTACATCAAATGGAATTGATGCCTGTTATTTTAATTGTTTCAATGGATTGGAGAACAACAATAAAAATGCGAAGCTCACATGTTGATTATCAACAATGCATTGGAACTGAAAACTCAGTGGCTTCGCGCATGATGATTCTCAAATTCGACACGATTAATATAAACAGCATATCGACTCAACTCTTTATTTATATTCGCACGTTGTTCCTCAAAATTTATATGCTTTTGTTTTAAATTTGAATTTCATCAAAATGTGTAAAAACATTTCATCAGAAAAACTAAAAACATGGTGACATCCACTCGATTGGCGCTCGATCGTTTCGGACAATTGAGATCAGTAGACCAGTCATCACTACCAACACAATTCCTACAAATGAATAGGCCATTTGGATCGAGCTCTTTTTTAATCGATGCCAATCGGTTATAGTTCGCTAGAGTGCCGAAAAATTTCTGTTTCCAATTCGGTTCATTTGGATCTGCTTCATTTAAATAACAGCTCGATTGTGCACCACCTGCTACAGTATCAAGAATTTCGACTTGGACTCGTAAACGTGATGCAATCATGTTTTGATCATTAACTGTTGTGCCGTCATCCCATGTCTGCGCATTAATCATGTGTAGGAGAGATGAACGCCATGCTGGATTGACACTATTATTAATCGATATCTTGGCTATTTCTCCACCAGCTACCAGATGTCCAATTAATATTGATTGAGTTTTACTAAGACCTCTCGCTTGAAAAAGAGCTTCGGCCACTCGATCCGGTTGATCACGAACAATTTCTTCCGGAATAAGACGGGATCCAAGTAGAACATTACCACCAGCGAGATTCGATGAAGCCATTATGAGTGCAAAATAATCATAAAATGATGGAAACAGATGGGTAGAATTCGTACTGAATTGTAAATCTGTATTATTTTTTATCAATTTATCAATTATTGCAGTAGCAACAGTAAAATTTCCATTTGGTACAAACAAAGCAATGCTAATACTGGTATCTGTCATGTAAAAATAGCCCGCATAACCTACGTCAGCTAATATCGGTATGAATCGAATAAAATCATGAATGAAACGAGCATAACGATCTTCGTTCAATGCAGAAACAGTGTATAGAGCGCTAACTATCGATGGCGACGGAAACGTGCGTAACACTGCTGAAAGTACGACAGCAAAACTTCCACCACCTCCACCACGTAAAGCCCAAAATAAATCTTTATTTTCACAGGCATTGACTGTTCGACGCTGCCCATCGGCGGTGACAACATCAAATTCAAGAACTTGATCAGCAGCCATACCTTTCCAACGAGTCAACGGCCCGTGGCCGCCACCTTGCAAAAAACCACCAATAGCACCCACAGTTATTGATGCACCACCAATTGCTATCAAATTATAGGTAGACAACCATGCGTATACTTCACCCCATTGTACACCAGCACCAAGACGAATTGCATTCGCTACATTTTCACCAGTACATGAAATATATTGTTCGATTAAAGTCATACTTTTCATATAATGTAACCAGAGAAGTAGAGAATCCGGAGCTGTCGAACGACCCAAATAATCATGTCCAGTCGTTTTTATGACTAACCTAAGGTTTTCTGCACTAGAAAAACGTACTGTTGCTTGTACATGCTCGACTGTTGTTGCATTTACTGCTAAACGAGGAACAGACCCTTGAGTGCACGTAACATTCCCTAGATGATCTGAACATGAAGTATTTTCCCAATTATGATTCTGCATAGATCCAACTTGATCACTACGCCATTTAGAATTTGTCCATTCAGTAAGAGCATTATTGCAGAGATCATCATTCGGTGGGTTACCACTACAGAACGCAACAGATGGTTGAACAGGTATTAATCGTCCATGAACGGATTCATTAAAATTTTGCCAAACTGATAGACTTGGCCAACAGTTTGCATCGCTCATCAAACATCGACAACGTAATTCTTTTCATAAATAACAATAAAAATGTGTGTGTAATTATTATTTCCCAAATCACTAAGAAACTTTACCTGCTGAAGCTGAATTTTGATGAAAAATAATGAGGATGAAACAATTTATTATTGAAAATCTACGTTTTAACATTCTTTTTTTTGTGCAGTCAATATTAGTCTATGAATTAAGGTTTCTTTTTACCTCGACATATATAAAGCTTAGCTTGATGTTGACATTTAATATCTCACTCATTTTCTTTTTTTTCTTTTTTTTCTATTTGTCTTGACTTACATTTCAAAAACATGATCGTTGAAAATATTTGTCATTCTATTGGAACGTTATGTAAAATGTTAATCTTAAGTCTATTATTGATAAGATTCGATAACAGCAATCCTATTTATGAAGCAAAACAAAAGATGAATCATGAAGAAAATGTTTCCTTGCGTATTGATATAAACAATCATTCATGATATCGCGTGCATAATACATAATGACATAATTTTTCTATTTCGTATTTTTCTTAATTAGAAATTTCCTATTAAAATATACGATCAAATAGCAATATCATTTCTCGTATATGTACAACTTTCTAGATAATTTTTTTCCCTATAACTATTATCCTTTTCAAAATAGAAGAGACTCCATTGCTTTTGGAATAATTTTTGAACGGAACATGATAGAGAGCTGCGGTTTTTACCATTGAACAGAGAAATGTTGGGGGCAGATTTCAATGCAAAAATTTGATTGGTTCATAATGGACCAATCAGATGAAATTCCAACGGACATTTTGCAAACAATATTTGGAACGCAATTCTGATATTGTTATGGATTCTCTCATGACCATTCGGTAGAAAATAATGTTCTCTTTCGATCTAGACAAGGCCGAACTTTCTATCTCATATAGTTGAGGAGTTATACGGGTTTAATTGAGAGCCCCGATTTCGGTCAATTCAAGTAGAATCACTCGGAAAACAACCTTGGGAGGAACAATTCACTACGCTGAGTCGAATGGCAATGTTTATTTTTCGATCCAAAAAGCATTCACGCTATAATCTCAATATCCCAGAAACTTTACATTGTGGCGTCATCTATCGGCTGGAGTCATTATTTGAAGAATATTGAAATTATAGCGTCAATGTATTTTAGATCGAAAAATAAACATTGTCATTCGACTCAGCGTACTGAATTACCCCTGTCAAGGTTGTTTTCCGAACGATTCTACTTGAATTGGTCGAAATCGGGGCTCTCAAGAAAACCCGTATAACTCCTCAACTAAATGAGATAGAAAGTTCGGCCTTGTCTAGATCGAAAGAGAACATTATTTTCTACCGAATGGTCATGAGAGAATCCATAACAATATCAGAATTGCGTTCAAAATATTGTTTGCAAAATGTCCGTTGGAATATCATCTGATTAGTCCATTATGAACCAATCAAATTTTTGCATTGAAATCTGCCCCCAACATTTCTCTGTCCAATGGTAAAAACCGCAGCTCTCTATCATGTTCCGTTCAAAAATTATTCGAAAAGCAATGGAGTCTCTTCTATTTTGAAAAGGATAATAGTAGGTCACACAACACCGATTGGGAATGGCAGCTTGCATAACACTCATACAAATGTATTCCTCCTTTTTGTACAACAGTCTCAGAGGATAATCGAAAGAAATGGAAACGCAAATATGTGAGCAATAAAAGATGTCCATGCGCTATTGGTACACATATAGCACACAATTCATTGCAGTTAGATTTTTAGGTGAGATTTAAAAAATGTGAACCCTGTAACCCGGCAAAATCTAAAATATTATTACACAAATGAGTTTTTGACACGGGAGAAGAAAAACTAGGATGACACTGGTCCGAATGGAGTAGTGCCGAGGATTTTTCCAACGCTCTTTTATTTGACTTCAATATCTAATTTCAGAACATCTCCTACATGGACAAAAAATCAACCAATCAATTCAATAGTAAACTATTTACGTAAGTTACACTAATGTTCTATCTTCAAAAGTTTGTTTGATATATATTTAACCAGCAATATTGCGAAGATCGAGAAAGGCATTGGTTCAGAATTCTTATTCTTTTTCGGAGCAATAAATTGTACTGTATTTGGTGTACTACTGTCGTTCTTTATTAATTGGAAACTGACTCTTATTGTATCGTGCTCTATACCTTTTGTTATTGGCAGTTCATTTTTGTTCTCTACAGTAAGAAATGCTTTTTAAATGAACGTAATTTATATAAATTGTTACAGCTTAGTGCCACAGAGACTCAGAATCAGTTGATCATAAATTCAAAAGTTGCCAGTATTGTTCAAGAAGTGTTTGGTTCATTTCGAACTGTTCTTTCTTTGAATGGCAGCAACATCGAAAAAAAGCGGTAAGCATAGTATAATTAGAGGTGTAAGCCGAGGGGCTCAACAGTGGCGGCGGGCTAAAATTTTTCAATTTTTCAAGATCAGTGGTAGCTAGAATCCTTAATATTCTTTTCACGTTGGCGGCACCGGTGGCTAAATTTATATTTGTAGTAGTTTTTCAAGAAAAAAATATCTCTTAAAAATTCTTTTACTTGAAACATAAAGATTCTCTTATTTTACCAATCTGAGACAATACCTATGATTGTGGAGAACCCCTAAAGATGAAAAAAAATCGAAAAATACTCGGTGTATATGTTTCAATAGTGGTGATGATTCATATTATTAAACATTTTCGTTGGCTACGACGGCGCCGCGACTAAAGTCATTTTCTTATGGCGGCAGCGGCTGAAAAATTTTCAAAAATTTGTTACGCTTTCGCAGCGGTGGCGGCTCAGTCGTATGGCTTACAACTATAAGCATACTATTTATTATGTTAATATTTACATATTTATCATAAATTTAGGTTTAAAGCGGCATCTCAGGAAACACATCGATACAGCATACGCGAGGGAGCACTATATGGGATTTATGCGGGATGGTTAACTTTAATAACCTGCATAATTTATACAATTGGTTTTATTTTTGGCTCTCTTCTTACAACACGTAAACCAGATAGCATAAATCTTACTGACATTCTTATTGTAAGTACTTGGTGAACTAACGAACAATGGTATGAAAACATGAATGGAATTTTTATTTAGATCGTAGCTATCTTTGCAGACAATGTACAATTTTACAGTCTTGTGAGTCCCTGTTTACAATCAATTTCAGAGAGTAAAGTAGCAGCAGCAGCAGTGTTTAAACTGATCGATGAGGTAAATTCATAAAACTAAAGTATTCGTCTAACATGCACCGTTTCTATTTGTCATATTTCTATAGGGCAGCATTGAAAAAATCAACGAAACAGAGGTGTGGATAGAAGATACGAAATCGCTTTCTAATATCCACTGTGATATAGAGTTTCAAAATATTAGCTTTACTTTTCCCTCCAGAAAGGATATACCGGTACTATGCAATCTATCTTTCATTGCTCGTGCTGGTCAGACAACTGCTCTTGTTGGTTTAAGTGGTTCAGGTGAGCCTATTTTCGAAAATGAATTGATTTAAAAGATTGCCTTTGGTTTTATTGTTTATTTCAAAGGAAAGAGCACCTGCTTGTCACTCATTCTTCGTTATTATGAGCCTTCATCAGGGCGGATTTTAATTGATGGTCGACCGATCACGGAATACAATGTTAAGCAACTGCGGCAGAACTTCGGAGTTGTTAATCAAGAACCGGTATGCATTTTGATTTTTGATTTTTTATCTATTTCTGACTGAAAATTTACCATGATAATAGATTCTTTTTGGTACAAGTATTTACGAAAATATTCGTCTTGGCAAAGTAGATGCAACGCGCGCCGAAATTGAAGAAGCAGCAACGCAAGCAAATGCTCATCATTTCATCATGCGCTTGTCTAATGTTTGTATTCCATGTCGATTTCTAAGGATGTGAATTGAATTCTCAGTATTTTCTTACGATTGCTTTGTGAAAATCGCTCAGTAATCAATCAAAGCTATTAGAACAAAATCAAACGACCCATACGAATTCTTTTATTGAATCAGATGGTAGCCCGTCGGCAAGATTTTTGCTCATTACGCTCACCTGCCCTCATGATTAAATCTTGCTTTCTGAAAAATAGTTTTTTGCTGATTTGATACTTATACCTATATCATTACTTGAATTGCGCCTTTTTACCAAAAAGCTGTTAGCGTAATCCCTATGGGATTGAAAGTGTGAAACACGATATTCGTTTTGTGATAGTTTTTGCAACCGTCTGGAATAATCTGTGCTCTTATAGAAATTATTTAGTCTGTCAGTCTGTGATGGTTTCGTTGCTACGTCTGTCACGGCCTGGGGGGGGGGGGGGGGGGGGGGGTGAAAATTTGGG